GTGGCCGTGCAGAGGAGCTCCGGCAGCAGCGGCTAACGGGTCAGACATTCCCTGTCTGAGGCTGCTTGTGCTGGCAGCAGAGCCTCCCTGGGAACAGCCAGACTGGGGGAGGCTGGAAAACAACCCTGGACTACAGGCGTGAACGTGTCAGGGCTGCCCCTGCCTGACCGCTCACACTCGCATCCTTCCCTCCTAGGGATGAGGGATCACGACCCCGCTGGGAGCGCCGGGGCTGCTCTGCTGATCCTGCTCATTCCTGCCTGAGGCACGGCTGCCCTGGCTGGATCCCCCCGGGGTCCTTTGACTCTGCACATGGGGAGTCCACCAAAGGCAGGATTTGACCCCAGGGCTCCTGGAGAGCCCTGTCCCTGCCAGGGGGGCCCGGGGAGCTCCGTGCTCTGTCTCTGCTGAGGACGCGTCTCCAGGACCACCTGAGCGGTGCCAACTCTGCTGTCTCCCATCAGCATGGACTTTGGGAGTGTCTTTCAGGCTGGGGGCTGGTTCCCACGGTGGCACGTGTGGCCTCCTGCCACCAACTGGGCTTGTCCCTTGCCTGTGCTGTCAGGGAGGATTAAAGCAGACTGTGTTTGAGCTGACATTCCAGCTGTGCTGGGTGGCATTGCCCCGTGTAATGTCTCCAGCTGGAGTCACCTTGGAGCTGCCGTGGTGAGGGTCTGGTGGTTCCCCCCCAACCCCGGGAGGTGCTTTGGGAATTAAATCTGTAATGGGGAAAGGGAAGGAGGAAGGTGGGGTGGGAGGAGGAGACAGAGCTCTCCTTCAGGTTCTGGGGGTGAAAAGGTGGGTGGTATTTCCAAAGCTCAGCCCTCCCCTGGGAATGCTGATGGGAACGATTTCCCCTGTTGGCGCTGGTGTCCTCAGCAGAGGGTTTGGCCTTGGGACTGAAAACTTGACAGCAGCGTGAGCACAGACATGTGCAGCTGAGTCCTGCTGGGCCCCAGCATCTGTCACCTTTGTGGCCAGCTCTGGAGGAGGGTGTTTGCTGTCCAAGAGCCTGGGCTTGCTTGGTGCTAAACCTCAGCTCCTCAGCAGGGCAACGTTTGGTTGAGAAATCAGGGTTTTCCTTAAAAACGCTGCAGCTGCCCCTCATGGTGTGAGCTGAGAGCTCCCTGCCAGGCTCCTGGAGCTGTTGCCTCTCTCCACCCCTGCCTGGCAGCTGGCTGCCCCTTCTGGCCCTCGAGTGGCTGCTGGGTCCACCCCAGGTTGGTGGGTTCCTGCCTTCACCTGGGACTTGGGGGGCTGTGCCCCTCTGCTCCCCACAGCCTGACGGGGGCAATGGAGCCACGGGTGAAAGCCTCAGCATCCCACAGCTGGATGTCTGAGACCAAGTGTTCCAGGAGAGCATCACTCAGGGCAGGATGCACTGCTACAGCAGGGACCTCCTGAAGGAGAACAACCAGCTCCAAAAGATCAGGTGAGACCTTAAGATCCAAGGGGATCTACTGGAAAAGAGGGAGAAGATGGCCAAGTGCATGGTCTGCATCTGCTGGATCCTGGCCAGTACCTGGGTGACATGGCAGGGTGGAGAGGTGACAGCAGGCTGGGGACACCTTTGCTTGTCCCCTGGTTGTGGGCAGCCTCAGTGCTACAGGAGGAGCCCAGGAGCTGGGCATGGAGTGGAGCAAGGTCTGGTGCCAGCTGGAGCAGAGGAAGGAAGCAGCAGCAGTGCTGTGGTATGTAGGACCCAGCAAGGGTCCTGGTGCTTGTTCCAGCACCTGCTGGGACACGGGCAAGGAGCTGCCTGTGCTGGGGACATCCCAGTGCCACCACACTTGCAGGGAGCAGGACATGCTGCAGGGCCCAGGGCTTTGGGACACTGTATGGTGGGGACACCCTGCTTGTCTGCACTGTGGGCCTGTGTCGGGGCTGTGAGGAGGAGCCAGAACTCCTCCAGCTGCTGGAAACTCGAGGGTTTTCGTTTAAATCCACCTGACACAAAAACTCTGAGGCCAGCCCTGAAGTTTGCAGCTCTGGGAACAGCCCTGGCGTGCAGCTGAGCTGCGAGACTCCAGCAGGCTCCTGCTCACCCCCATTTCTCAACAAGGCTGAGGCAGTTTTGGACCCTGTGGAAGTCACTCCCATCACTTCCCACGTCCCACTGGAAGCTTCCCTGGCAGAACAGGGGTGGGAACACAGATTTGAGCTAGAGAGAGACAGGGACAGTTCAGCA